GCTATTGCCTTAACATTTTCTAGATTCTTTTACTTCTTAATTTTGCCTATTAAGAACCCTGCCTGGAGGGCTGGCCCCAGAGCAGAGGTGACCCTTCTGTGTGTAGCCAAGCCTGGCGGCTTGCTGCTCTGTAGTGGACTATCTGACAGAGAAAAACTAAAGGGAAAACCCACTTCTTCTGGCTCATGCAGTGAGGAAGGAGAAGGGAGAGGGAGGATAGTCAGAGAATGAGAGATGTACCTGGAAACCCCATGGGATGCTTTGCTTGGGTATCATTCCAGGGTTTTGGAGGGAGGCAAGCAGCTCACCAGGGACCCCCATCCTAGGGTCAACATCCCCATAGTTACTCTAGAAGGAAGCATAACCAAGAGGAGAAGAAGGACCTGTATTAGCCTCTCAAAGCCTTCCACCCTATAGATTTCAGAACCCTCATCTGCCCAGTGCCATGAGGTCAAGGAGCCTCTTCCCCAACCCTCAGCCTCATTGACCCAGGGAGAGGAGCAGGGGAGAGGCAAGCTGTCTGGGAAACCGAGCATTTTTATGCAAACAACATTGAGATTCATTGGGAACCAGCAGTTAGCGTAATGGCTATGTTGCTGGACTCCCACGTAGTCGACTGCGGTTCGTGTCCCGGACCCGGTGGCTTAAAACTCAATCTGGGCGCATGTGCGTGCATGCCCAAGATCCTGAGAGGAGAATGGAGGAGAAGGGATTGCGGCGTGACCATCCCCCCAGGGGGTGATTTCTCGCTTTCTGTCTCTATGTCTCTCTCTGTCTGTCTGGCGAGTGCATGCGACCTATAGCAAAAAAACCTCTTTTAAAAAAAAAGATTGAGATTCACTAGAAGGACTATTTTGATTAGGTTATAATCCTGAATGGACTAAATTAACCTTGTTTTCCCACTATCTAGTGGTTGGAAACAATAACAGTTAAAAACCAAATAAGGCACATTTTCATTGTACATCCCGGGAGTAGTTTGAGTTGTTAAAAAACCCAACCATGTATACAACGTGCACTGGGTAAGTTTGTGACCGTTTCTTTAGCTGTTAAGTGGGGATAAATGACTGCCACCTCAATGGCCTCAGTGTGCATATCAGAGATAGATGCAAACATCTCTAACTCACTTTGGAAATTCAGTGAGTGTCCCTCCTCGCTGGTGCTAGCAATGACAGGATCGGAGCAGGGGAGAGTGCTTGCCCTGGAGCCAGTGCCCATAGGCACCTCTCCTTCTGCATGGCAGACCTAAGCAGATACCCATGCAGCCTACAGATGATGGTCAGAGGGGCCTCTGGTCTTACTTCTCTGCGAGAGCACATGCCAGAGAAAAACCATGCATGAAAATCTGAGAGTGGAGCTACCGGCACCACAGAGCTGCTCTCTCCTTTCAAAGGCCACTGTTGACATCTGCTCCTCTCCACATGAATTTTGAGCCCAGGGTTTGTGTCTGGCCTTGTGATCATCTGTACCCAGGCTGCTCCGAGCCTGCCAGCAAATGAGGGCTGAGCCGTGCTTGCAAGAACTTGTTGGAGGCTGGGTTAGCATCTTGGCTCCCTGGTCCCCATTCAGCTTTTGTAAGAGTATATTATTATTATTATTATTATTTTAGCTCCAATTGCTGTTTCCAAGTCATTATTTCTCTACAATGAGAAAACAATATTGAGTCTTATGTAATACTGACTTCAATGAATCTGGAAATGATCATGGAATGGGTGGACTTTTTTCCTCTTTAAAAAAGAGAAAAATAAATTTGAGATTGTTTGCATATGGCTAAGAATATTTATGAACTATTCCCCTTGTTTCCTCATCACATATTTTACTCAGTGCATTTGTGTGTGGTACAGAATAAATCTTTACGGGAGCAGAGGCAGAGAGGGGAAGAAAGCAGCTAAAGGACTCAGTATCCATCAGCTCTCTGGGATGTTAGCAATCCTTGGCCTCGGAGTGCTCTTGCCTAAGGCTCATTTGCAAGGTTTCTCCATCTAGCCACTCAGAGGAAGTCTTTTGGAGGAAGAGTTTCAAAGACAAACACAAGAAATTATGATCTTCTAGTCACATAGATTGCTTTCACATCCCCATCACTTTTGTGAGAGCAGAAAGTTCACCATGAATGGTTTCATGGCCTGGGTACCATTAACCGAAAGAGGTAATTCAACTCTATGGATACAGGATTGAGCCAGGACCAGAAGAATGTGTGGGAAGGAAAGTGTCCAGGTGCCACCATTTATTATTCAACAATATAACAGTGTTTTAGCACATAGGCACGCTGCATCTGTTTGCCTCTGGCTATGCCTCTCAACGTGTCTTGTCACCAAAAAGGATCCCAAGGAAGCATAAAGGATCGAACTGTGTACATTCAGCAAGTAAGGGAAGCCATGCTCCAGACTTTGCCCTCTAGAAGTGTGGCTTCTTAAAATCACCCACTCTCTGTGACACTCTGGAATTTTCAGTCATTTATTGACCAACAACATGGAGCAAGGTACAGAAAGCAAGATGGCGCCACCTTTGGTAGTGCAATAACAATGACTGCCAACAGTTGCTTTCCTAGGATGGGCCAGGCTGTGTTATAATATTATTAACAATATTAATAATAAAATAATATTAGGCTCTCCCTGCATTATCTGAGTTCATTCTCACAATGACCATGGGAGGGTTACTGAAATGAGAAAGCTGAAGCTCAGTTGAAGAACTCACTCAAGCTCATACCTAGATGCCAGATCAGGGATGTACGCAGCATTTGTGGTCTGAAGCCAATACAATAAGTACAAAAAAAAAAAATTAAAACTCAGATCCAAGGCCTTGAATGGGGCCCATGCATTTAAGGAACCTTGAATTTTAAGGTTTAGCCACTTCATAGTAAATCCACCCTGAGCAGAGTCAAAATTTAAAAATGGGTCAGCTGCAGGCCGCAAAGCCCCTTTCCTGATGCTTCCTCTGCCTTTCCCTCTACCCTGATTATCATCAGCTCCTGACCAAAAATGCAAGTGATAAAGCTGACCACACAGAGGACATCCTCAGAACATACCAACTTGGTCTGTCCCTGTTGTGATGTAAGGCAACAACCACTCCCACTGCCAAACTTCATCCTTTCCATCCTAAGGAATCACCAGAGAGATAGTTGAAACTTATGCAAAATTATCTTCCCAAGGCATTTCAGTTGCTGTTCTAGGCCCTTCACCAAATTTTATGATTGTTCCCTGACCCAGTTACTTGGGCACAGACTGGTGCAGTGGCCTCTTGAGGTCTTCAAGGGACATTTGGAATTAGAACCCACAGTATTTCATTTCCCTTCACATCCCTGGGATGATCAGAGTTGGTCACATTTTGACAGGCACAATATTTGATTCTTCCTTTTTCCATTATAATCAAAATTTTTTCCATAACGGAAAGGAGTAGAGGAATTTGGGTAAGCAAACAAACCCATAAATCATAACTGCTTGGGGGAGAAAAGCGTAATAAGTATTGTTTAGTACCCACCCTAAGTATTGTTTAGTACCCACCCTCTGCCATTGCCTTTGAATAGCTTTGCAATCACATTACAGTCTAGACAATCACTAAAGGGAATACAAGCACTTTTCTCAGCCCCACTTGCTCTGTTCTCCCAAACTGGAAACACAAAGCAGATGATGAAGCACAAGTTCAAATGCCACACCAGGGTAAAGGAAGTATTGAGAAACTGTCCGACCTCCAGCCAGTGTACAAACATTCCAGTGAGCGTTCAATGGATTTATCTTGGGCTGGTGTCCTTCCATTGTCTCAGACAAAAGGTCTTCTTTGAAAAGACAAAAGCATGTCATGTGAGGATGGTTAGCAGAAGGCACATTGTGGTAAAATATGAACCAGAGAACGATCCTCTTGGCCCTAGTTCCTGAGGCACATCCCTCTCCCGCTTGTATATGCTGGAGTGAACATCAGGACTGATTCCCATTGTCTCAACATCGAGCTTTAAACCAAAGTCTGGAAAAACAGCCCTTGGGGACAGGGCTGATGACACAATACTGTGGCCAGTGACTGGCCAGCTATTTCTTTTCTCTCTGTCCTTTGAGCTCACTGGAAAATTTTGTCAGTGCTGTATGAATAGAACAGATTATGAGATTCTAGGTGGAATGACACTGAATGACAGTGACTCCCCATCATGGTTCTTGTGGGTACTTTGCTCATGTATCTAAATGGATCATTTAATGGATAATTATTGGAGTGAGATCATGAAAGTCTCTGCCATGTGATCTTCATTTGGATGTTCACTCACCGAGCCATGTCCATGATAGGTTTCCATGCAGCTGGGACAGCGCTTTCCTTCAGCTTTGGCCCAGCACACTGGTGCAGCCTTCCTTAGATTAAACTCAACTGTGCCTCCTTGATAGCCAGAACTTCTCCAGGGTGGCACCAAGCAAGTCTGCTCTATTCCTGTCATGTTCTCCTGGAGACCTCATATCTCCCCTTCTTAGGTTGGGTTAGTCATAGTTCATGCTTCCATAAAATCTGGTGCATATCTCTATCCTAGACTTCAATACAGTTTTAATTTTTTACTTAACAACCCTTCCTTTCTACAAAATTAATATGTAGGATTATTGTGGAATATGGGTAAAAAATATTTATGCAAAATAAGAAAATTAAAATGGACTGTTCTTATTGCACCTGCTGGAGATAAGTACTATACAAGCTTCGATATATGTATTTTAACTGTTGTATTTCTATATTCTTATTTAAAAAAAGAACTAGTAGGGCCCAGCATATAGTATGGCAGTTGTTAAGGCAGCTGGATAGACTCAAAAAGCCGTCTACACAGTTCAAGTTCCAGACCTGCTAGCTTGAAGAACATGCCCGATGCATGTGTGTGTGCACCCAAAATCCTAAAGAGAGAATAGAGAAGGGATTGTGGTGTGGCTCTGACAGTATGACAAGAGGGACAGAATTTGAGGTGAGCTACCCTACTCTGAAGACCATGTGACCAACTGGCAAGACATTTGGCTAAAGACCCTTCTTTTGCTCTTCCATCCCAGCCCTTGAGAGAGGTCTGACCAAGGCACTGAAGAAATTGGATGACTACCTGAACACCCCTCTGCCAGAGGAGATTGACGCCAACACCTGTGGGGATGATGACAAGGGGTCCCAGCGCAAGTTCCTGGATGGAGACGAGCTGACCCTGGCTGACTGCAATCTGTTGCCCAAGCTTCATGTGGTCAAGGTAAGAGACCTCTATTCACAGGTGCTTGTGAGATCCAACTCCATGTTGGGCCCAGTCCCCTACAAACATGAGTTAAGGACACTAAGAACCCCAGCTCTGAAGTCAGATGATGGGGACTCAAGGTCAGCTTCTACTGCTTACTAGCTATGTAGCCTCTCTAAACTTCAGTTTTCACTTTTAAAACAGACATTTTTAAAATGCAGGCAGGTGGCATGGTGATTTAGGCACTGGACTCCCACATGGCTGACTGCAGTTTGAGTCCTGGACCTGGTGATTGCTTTCACTTTCTCTGTCTTTCTCTCTTTGCCTCTCTCTAGTCAAATTAAAAAATAATACTAATAAATAAAGTTAAATAATTATAAAAATTTATTTATTAATAAAAGGCATATATGGGTTAGCTAGTTATACATTAGTTAAGGTGTCTGACTCCTACATGGGTTGAGTCCCGGACCTGGTGGGCCCAATGGACACATACATGTGCATGCATGCCCAAAAATCCCAAGAGGAGAATGGAGGAGAAAAGATTACAGTATGACCATCCCTCCTGGAGAGAGTGATTTCTCACTTCTCTCTCTCTTCCTCTCTCTCTCTCTGTGGCAAGCTCATGTACCCTATAGCAAACTAAAATTTGAAAAAAGGCATATGTTGCTTACTTCTACTGCTGTTGGGAGATTAAATATGGCATATTGTAGGGGCTCAATAAATGATATTTACGAGTGTAATGATTGTGTATACCACTCCAAAGGCCTCTTCCTCATAGCTTTTCACTGGACATATCCCACATCTTTTATTAGCTGCATCCTCAGATACACATTCTTTGTGCATCTTCTACCTCCCTCTAGTGGCTCCCTCAGGTAGGTGCCTATCATCTCCCTCTCAGTTGAAGAGATGGAAGCTGCAAGAGGTGACCTCACTTACTGGCTATCATTGCACTTGCTGGTGGTTGGTGACACGTAATGTAATCCTTGCCTACACAACGAATCCCAGCATCTTAGAGTTGGACAAAAGGAAATTCAGAGGTTCTCCAAAACAATCTCTCACCTAAATTGAATCAATTTCTGTCATGTCTGTGACAGGCTTCCATGCTGCTGACCGTACATTTCTGGTAATGAGGAGCCCCTGCTTCAGGAGCCAGCCCTGCCATTTTGGACACACATGATTATTAAAACATCTTTCCTTATATTGATCCTGAGTGTGCCTCCTAGCTACCCATTTGTTTTCTGAAGCAAAATAAAACAACTCTGCTCTTCACCTCATTTGAAGACAGTTGTATCCTCTAAGCTCTCTAGATGAACACTTCTCCTCACATCCTTCCCTGGCCCTCACTACCTGGAGATAAGGACAGTGGGATTGCATAGTCACGGTGTTCTCTACTTTTACCTTGTCTGTACCTTCTTATCTCCTCAGACAGTAAACTCTGTGGGCATAGGGCCTTCTCCAAGCATGATGGTGGATGCGCAGTGGCTCTTCTGTACTCTTTTACTGATTATTTGATTACCTTGCATTTGTTGTTGTTTCTAGCCTTCACTGTGAAGAAACAGATTCAGCCATTAATCAGCTTGGGTATCTGCCTGTTGTTTTTCAGCTGAAGTCCTGGGCTAGAAATGCAGGTCTTCCTCCAATCGGAACACAAACAAGCTGGTATTGAAATTGCTTAGCTGTGTACACACTGGGGCTTCCATAGGCCTCAGTCAGAGCTGGGAACTGAGAGGGAATCATGCATGCCAGTGCTGATAGGCAAATACAATCCATGAATATAAAGCCACTTTAGGTTCAGAGTCAAGCCACTGGTCACTTGTGGGTCCAGCAAAGCAATGTCTCCTTAAAGTTACTAATTACTACATGCGCCACCTGCCAAAAAATCCTTTATTCTCCTCTTTCTGAAAAACAAGAGGCGCCATTAGGTGTGATAGAATTCCAGTCCGGTCACACTGTGTCAGAGTGATAGAACGGCCTGACCACGAGCACCAAGTACTAACTAGTCCTATATCTGCCACCAACTAGCAGCATGAGCTAGAGAAAGTATCGTTAATTTTCTGGAGTTCGTTTTTTTCTTTTGCTTAAAAGAAGAAAGTGGATTTTATTCCTTTTAGCCTTTTTCCTTTCTTCCTTCCCTCCTTCCTTCACTCCCTCTCCCTCGAACATGTGTTGACTATCCACTCAAGAATCATTTGTTGAATATAGTAAATGAATGGATCACTCAGGCATTGTGCTTCCTCCTGTGATTTCTTCAGTTCCTTCTACCCCTAAAAGATTAAGCTGAGCCCCTATTTTAGGAGAAAGTTCTATGAGTTTCTCACTCAGGGTAGCTGGGATCAGAAAGAGAAAGACCTGCGAGGGAACAAAGGCTGGACCTTGAGTCCTGTCTTCTTGGTTTCTGCTGATCCAGCTTATCAGATCCCAGGAACCTGGCAAACCTCTGAGGTTCAGAAAGAGCGAAGGGGGAGCCAAGTCTGTCCTCCAGTTTGGCTTCGGATGCCAGAACTTAATCTGGGCTGTGGGAGCTAACTGCTTTCATATGGAAGAGCAAATTCAGAACATGAGCACGCAGGTTCCTATGAACATCAGCGCTCCAGAAGCGCTCTCTGATCTGCACGCTCTCACCTGGCTCACTTTCAGGTTCATCCCATCCCTGGAAGCTGAGTTGCCCTGGCCTCGGAGTTCACTGTCTAGCTCAGTCTAGTACACACCTTCCCAGGTCAAGCCAACATGTGAGGCATAACTAGCTCGGCAGCCCCAGTCCAGGCTACATAGGTCTAGCCCGGCAGGGGTCTCTGCAGGCCTTTCCTGGGGCCACCAGGACCCTTGCCCAGGAGAGTGACCATGATAAACCCCAGAAAGGAATACTACATGAGATTCAAATAGAAACACAGATGTATAAGAGATCTTCACAAAGTTCTTGGAAAATGTGTATTATGAAGAAAACTACATGAATTTTAAAATACAACAAATGAATTTGTACTTTGATTCCATTTTTTAAAAATTTGAAGTCCCCTTATATAATCACAAATTGCATTTTTTTTCCTTTCTGTTTTTCATTTAATGTTGGCCCAAAATAAAATTTTAGCATGGGGAGACTTGATACTGCTTCATCATTCAGTGTGCAATTGTGAAAAATACTTTCCATAGATTCCTTCACCTTGTGGGCCTTTTTTATTTACTCTAGCAAATTCCAACTACTTCTTTGGGTTAGGCCACCTCTTCTCCATGGATTCTCTCTTTAGCCAGGGTCGCCCCATCTCAAAGGCTGGATGCACCTTGCCTGGTGTTAGGATAACTAAAGAATATAAAGAGTCCATACACTGCTTATTAGATTCCTACTTATTTAACCCCTCTTGGCCATACTTCTCTTTCTCATCTGTAAGATGGGAATATTACTGACTCTTCCTTTAGGTTTATGTAATTTTAAGTATCTTGCAAAGGGCTTAAACAGTACTTTGATCAGAGCACATAAGCAAAAATGTTCACCATTGTCATTCTCCTCATCAGCATCATTTTCGAGATCTTTCCATGGGCACAGAAATGTAGCAGTGGTGGTTTCTATCCTTGACAAGATAGAGAAGAGAGGAGGATACTAAAATAGTAATTGCCAAGCAATGAGAATGTAGCTCAGTGTTGTAATAGGAATTCGAAACTGACATAGGGGTCTGCACATTAAATATAATAGTCTTTCTTGAAGAGTTTGCCAAAGCACTGGATTTTCTTTGGCAGTATCATTTTTAATGACTATTTTTATGTCATTGTATTTATGTACAATAATGATTCGTATATTGTTGATGCTTGGTATTGTACACACTCTCTCTCTCTTGTTTTTTCTTTTTTTTTTTTCCCATAAGGCACAGAGATAGATAAAGACAGAGAAAGAGAAAGTGAGAAATCACCTCACAGAAGGGGTGGCCACTTCACAATCCCTTCTCCTCCATTCTCCTCTTGAGATTCTGGGCATGCACACATGTGTGATTTTCAACCCATCAGGTCTGAGGTTTGAACCACTGGAAAGCATGTGGGAGTCTAGCACCTTAACCACCACACTACTTGCTAGCACATTGTGTACCCTCTTTTGCTATTCAAAAGAGTCCTGTGATCAGAATTGTGAGCTAAGTATTTATGTACATCCATGGTTCCTTCCTAAGGAACAATTTCTGGAAGTGGAACTGCTAGGTCAAGGAGAAATTTTATTTACTTTAGAAATATTAAATTAGAGGAAAATAATAAAGAGAAGGCACCTTGCATTACAAATATTGCACTGATGGCCCATTGTAATTCATGCACTTTATCCTTCTGTGCAAACACCCTGGGTTGTGCCATTTACCCCTTCCAGTGATTTGTTTCACACCTTCACACCATCTCTGTTTTAGATTGTGGCCAAGAAATACCGCAACTATGACCTTCCAGCTGAAATGACAGGCCTACGGCGGTACCTCAAGAATGCCTATGCCCGGGATGAATTCACCAACACCTGTGCAGCTGACCAAGAGATTGAGTTGGCCTATGCCGATGTCGCCAAGCGCCTCAGCCGATCCTGAGCACAGCCATCTTACCCATCCCTGCTGCAGAAGGACTCTACTTCTCCCAAAGGACTCTGGCTTCACAGACTCCTCTTCCTCATTGCCTTGGGAAACATGTTTTCTTTTCTTCTTTTTGTTTTGAAAATCAGGCCACATCTTACTGGCATCACCAGAACTGCAGCCTGCTCTCTTTTGCGAAGGTCAGCACCCTCCTCTGCATCACCACATAGGAATCTGGCAATGGAGATAATAGAAATGGTCACCCTCTCAGCTTCTGGCCTGGTCTGGGCTCAGTGTCTTTGCGGGTCGGTGTTGGAGAACCCACATATGGGATCATCACTGGCCTCTTCTGCCAATTGTAAAAATACCTTCTCTGATGCTTTAGAAACACACAGCACCAGCTCCTCTTCTACCTTCCTCTTTGTCAGTAACTGGATGGCCAAGGACAAATACCACCTTAGTTTCTATTGGAAAGAGATCCACTCCCTGTTAGGGGAGACAGAGAGAGTGAATGGAGAAGGGCCGAGCTAGTTGTGAGTTTGGCATCTGGCAAACTCACCTGTAGTCACTGGTTCCTTCTGATACTCCTGTCGTGTGCATGGAAGCCAATTAGAAAGCCACTTCAGACACATTCTCAGTGTGCTGCAGGGCTGGGAATGTGTATTGCTGTGGGGCACCTGGCTGGTGCTGACCTAGCTTGTCACGCTGTCAGGACCTTGCCAGGAAAGGAAATTGGCATGCAATTCCAAACTGGGATGCCTGGGGAGAGGAGGGGAGCAGAGCTGATGCCAAAAGGCCCATGTGGGTCTACTAGCCACAGAGTTTGCTTGTGTAGAAGTAGTTGTTTCCATGGAGACTACATGTCTGGATTTGACTGTGCTTATCGATGAGTAGTTTTGGTCTATGAGAAAGCAGGTGGGACTAGGAGGAGGAAAGGTGGGTGAAGTTAAAGGAGTTCTTTTGAGGTTTGCTGTTCCCTGGTAGCTTTAGACAGGTCTTCTCTAGTGATCTAAATCTTGGGCTGGTGATGTCATGTAACTACCAACCTTATGGCAAAAATCCCAAACTTGGCCAAAAAGTGTCTTCCCAGTCTCCAAGTTGCTCCTGGATGGGGGTCTGCAGGGTAGACAATTGGGCTGCAACCTCTGACATGTGAGAGGTCCACTCTGGAGGTGGCGTGATCATGGAACACCTTTGCAAGAATCTATGAGCTTTCCTGACTGGCTGGAACTTGAGGAAAAATCTGTATCCACCTGGGTTCATTTCCCTGACATCAGACTCAACTGCCAGGTGGAAAAAAGGAAATTCTTTTTTTTAGCTAATATTTCACTCCTTAATCATTCTCCTTGAGTTTCACCTCCTTAAAAGTTTCCCCAGCCTGAGCATGGGGACCTGTGCAGAGGAAACGAAGAAAAATGAACTAATCATCAACTCCCTCTCCTGGTGGACACCCTGTGAGAAAACCAGAAAACCCCTCCACACAGTCCGCACCTTCAACAATCCTTCCTTCTATGTTGTATGTGGGGAGAGGGTGAGGCTCAGAGTGCCGGAAAGCCCCTGGACTTGGCTCATTTCTCAGGGAGGGCAGGGCATAGAAACATCAACAAACTCTAACCAAAGCAATCCCTGGCCCTACCTGCCTCCAGGGAGCTCTCAAGAAAAAAAGTAACCCATTGATCAAAACAGAGAAGGGGAAGCAGGAGGTCTCCTTCAGCCCACTGAGGAAGAGGAAATTTCTCAGTAGGATGTTTTATAAGCCTGAAAGAACTTTGAAAAGGCAGAATGAGCAGATTTATTTCCACCTCAAGAGGAACCTTTCCACAGTCTCTCTGGAAACTTTGCCTCTGGAGACATTTAAAAAGGAGAACTGGGGAGGAAACAGTTTGTTGTTATTGTTTTTGTTTGTTTTGTTTTGTTTTGTTTTGTTTTTCTGAATTGAAGAGCCCACAACTGGCCTCCTGGGGGATGAGAGCCCAAATGATCCCAAAGGCCTTTTAGTCCGTGTGAAATCTTGTTGTGCCCAAGAATCCTTCCCTGAACACACAGTGCAGGCAAGATGACCCAAGAGGCAGGTTGCTTTCCTGAGACCCACAGATGGGCTATTCTGGAAGCACGTCTGTGAAGCACAGCTAGCCTCACAGCCCTGGGGAAAACAGATCAAAGCCCCAAGTGCAGTGGCTACACCCTGGAGGGGCTGGCAGAATGTGGCCAACTCTGATTTGACATTCAGAATTCAGTGACTGGCTAGTCTTTAAACACAAACAGAAAAAAAAATCAATATTGCTCTCTCTAGCTATTTCTTCTGTGGTTCAGTTAGATTTACATATAACAATATTAGGGTGCTACAAGAGGTGAGGTTATATGATCTGTTATTACTATTTTAAAGGGGGGGGAATTAAAGAAGGAAGGCACTTCTGGGTACCTGATTCAGAAGTATCTTTCAATTGCAGCAGTAGATTATCATCTAATGCACCTGACTATTGACTTAGAGCTATGGTATCTTATGGACATATTTATCATAGTATATTAAATAATAATATTAATAACACTACCTTCCAATGTTCTTTTTTTTTTTTTTCAAAAAGAGATTTTTTTTTTTTTCCTCCAGACCCTTCAGTGTCTCTGGGGTGAACCTTGGCCATAACCTTGTCACATGCACAACACAAGTATCTCTCAGCGATGGTGTCATGAGGTCTTCGAATGTCCCCAAATCCAACTCAGGGAGAGTACTGGAGGGGTTGTAGTTTGGACTCTGCATGTCAGAATTTTAGGATAAGAGGTAATTCCTGTAATTGGTATTGGAATGAGTATTGATCTGCCAGAAAGCATTTTGATGGCACAGGAAGGGGAATTCTTTGGATCAATATAATTTATTTTGTATTTATTTCTCTCCTTTGACTTTTTACATCACTATCTTTTGGTATGTGGATTAGGTTAGTGGGAGGCAGAGGCAGAAACAAGAGTTAAACTTAGAATTACAGAGTTGGGTTTACTCATCTGTTCAGTCTTCCTACCTATTAGGTTGGCCCACAGAGAAGGTACTGGGTATGATTTTATAAACTACAATGAACCGAGTAAGTAAGATCCTGATTGATTCAGAGCGTAGTTCCGTATCTTCTCACAAAGGACGTCAAGTGCTTGACAAACTCAGAATCTCAGATACAAGTATGACTCTTTTTTAAAGAACAAGAGGTATGGATACTACCTAGCACCAAGATGCTTGTCCATCGGCTCATTTGGCCACATGATCCCAAACTCGTGTTGGCTACCCAGGAAATGGCACTGTCCTCAGCATTCCCTTCTAGTACTGGTGGGGACTAGTGAGGATCTTGGCTTTATCTTCAGAAAAAGGCATGCCAAGAGTAAGGTTTCCTGGTTCATATTGTCTGGCACTTGTCAAATGAAACAACAAGCTATTCTGAAGACTTGCGCCCAGTAGCCATGCTGCAAACAGATGATTCCAAGGTCTTAGAATTGCCCCAGGAAAGATTACTCTGGGAATAAACCCTGACCATCTAAGAGTCCCAGGAGTAGCAAGGTCTGGACAAAGAGAATTAAGAGGGAGACAGACATAGAAATGAGCAGGTCTATTTAATAAGAGCTTACCATCACTGGGAGAGAATGTGTCTAATATTTAATTGGTCTAAAAGCAGCAGGTATCTAGGAGGTACTTTTGTGGTTCACCTCTATTCCTACTGGTCAGCAGCCATCTCAGCTACACAGCGAACCAAGTTGCTGTGTCATTCTCCTTGAAAAGAAGAAACATTAATTTGTGGTTAAAACTAAATCCATGATTCTCACCTTTGAGAATTTATATGACATTAAAAAGAATCTTAAGAAAGCACTAGAGAAAGAAATACGTGTGTGAAGCACTCCGATTTTGACATTAGGAGAACATAAAAGGTCACAACTCCAGCCTTCGGGCCCTTCTGCAGCCAGCTCAGTTGCCTACTACCCATGGCTCGTTTCTATTCTAATCAAACCACCTGTGCCCTCTTCAAGAATATGCATTCTTCTTCCTTTGTCAATATCCTTCTCCAAGATTAGTTTCAGGATACTTTCATCTCATAATTAGGTATGATTTAAAGTGTGCATAATTTTATTTAATACTATTTAAGGAAACAGATTGAATTCTTCCTGTAACCAAAAATAAATAAAATATTGTGTCAATATAGGATTTGGGCTAATCTATATTTCTATGAAAACAGCCTCATTTTTGGCAAAACATAGTTTCAAAGATCCAATCATCTAAAGTGTTTTGTGTATAGTTAGAGATTTCACAATATTGACTATGCCTATATTTAAATATAAAATAGCTGGCTGATATTTGAATTTGTCTTATTTTCCTGACATCTGGTTGTCTATTTTATAAGCTAGGAAGTTAATGAATTTAGCAAATATGCCTAGATTTTATTAAAAAAAATGAGTATTTCATTTCATAAAAATACCTCCAAAGATGGTTATCTGATTTTTTTGAGACCTTTAACTGTGGTGATGAAATAACAGGACATGCTTTCAAGCCTTGATAAATGTAAAATGCCTTTTATGAATATATAGCGAAGTGTTTTCTTCCTGAATTTAAACCAGTTATAAATTTGCTTCCTGTCTTGATTGGTATTGACTGATTCAAATAAAGTTGGTTTATTTTCAAATATTGCAAAATTGATCATCAAACTTCTTATTTGAGGTGGGGATTTCTTATGCTGTTTTAAATAACTATGAAATATGTCTTCTTTTTCCAAATAAAGGCTATTTTATTTTCCCATTATAAAATAAACTATGCTCATTATTCTTAAAAATCAAAAGCACATGGGAACCAGCAGTTAGCGTAATGGCTATGTTGCTGGACTCCCACGTAGTCGACCACGGTTCGCATCCCGGGCCCGGTGGCTTAAAACTCACGCCGCGCGTGTGTGTGCGTGCCCCAGATCCTGAGAGGAGAATGGAGGAGAAGGGATTGCGGCGTGACCATCCCCCCTGGGGGGTGATTTCTCGCTTTCTGTCTCTCTGTCTCTCTCTCTGTCTTTCGCCCTATAGCGAAAATCTCTCCAAAAAAAAAAAAAAAAATCAAAAGCACATAAAAAACAAGGGGAAAAAAAGCAAAAGTAAAAAGCTTGTGAACCAGCCATCCAAACATAATTTTTTTTTAATGGCAAGGCTAAAATAGTCTTGATAGTATGAAGGGACTTCAACAAGTGTGTAAAGTAGAATTAAAGTGTGAGTTTACCTTGACGTAAAAAATGTATAAATCCTTTCATAGTACACATTTTCTACGAACTTTTTGAAGATCCCTCTTATACATAGGCTAGCTAAAAAATTATACCGATGCCTTTTTGTGTTTCTTCTTTTCTTTTTTTTTTTTTTCAAAATGCGAATGCATATGAAGGTTTATCTGTAAACCACCCCCTAAAGTAGAAACAGTCTAAATGTCCTTCAACTTTTATGGATAAACACACCTTGGTTCATATACACAATGTAACACTATTTAGCAACAAAAAGTAATGAACTTTTTTTTGTTGTTAAAGTTTTAGTTTCAGTTATAGGGCACATGAGCTCACCAGAAGAGAGAGAGAGAGAGAGAGAGAAGGAAAGTGACAAATCACACTTCCCATACACACACTGAGAGACGGCCATGCCACAATCCCTCTTCATTCTCCTCCTGGGATTTTGGACATGCACACACATGACTAGTGTGTCTTTCAAGTCACCAGGTCTTATTTTCAACCCATATTGTCATAGCTGGGGATAGGCCAATAGTCACAGTCCAGGGGTGACTTAAACAATACCATAATGGGACCAGCAGTTAGCGTAATGGCTATGTCACTGGACTCCCACATAGTCGACCATGGTTCGAGTCCCGGACCCGGTGGCTTAAACTCATGCTGGGTGCATGTGTGTGCATGCCCAGGATCCCAAGAGGAGAATGAAGGAGAAGGGATTGCGGTGTGGCCATCCCCCCTGGGGGGTGATTTCTCGCTTTCTATCTCTCTATCTCTGTCTGTCTGGCAAGCGCACATGCCCTATAACAAAAAATCTCTCCAAAAATAAAAAAAAATAACATAAAATACTGAACTATCTGTGCCCAAAACTCTCTCTTATCTCCCAGGAGAAAGCTGGGACATTCCTGGCCTGAAATTCCCACTCTTTTCACCACATTCCTGATTCTGGGTTCAGATTCCTAGAGGTCTTAGTAAGTTTTACTCGAAACCAACATAGCATGTAATGGCATCCATGATAAGGTCTCGGCCATCTCTTCTGTCCTCCAGGTTCTATCAGAACAGCTTCTCATTACCTTGGGAGAAAGGAAAAACTGACTCAAGAGATGAGTCCTGGGGGGAGGGGCAGCCTGGAGTTCAGGGCAGATGTAACAGATGTTGGTGGTGGTCTTTTTACCATTCTGACCCCTTCATATTCCTCTAGCAGAACTCTGATTAGGCCAGGAATCCACCCCTCCACTCCTCTCTACCACCCACCTCCAGCCACTCACTCCAGCCTCGGAGACTCAGGTAAGTGATTCCATCCCCAGTTCTGAGGGCTAAGTCACAAATGCTTGAGCACATCCTTCTGGATATGCTTGGACTGAGTGGGTTCCTGTCTTCCCTGTATCGGGAGGAGAGATTTCCCAGGAACTGAGAAAAATATCCCACTCTTAAGAAAGTGATTCCTGGGGCCAGTAGATGGTGTAGTGATTAAGATGCTAGGATAGCCACATAGCTGACCCTGGTTTGAGTACTGGACCCAGAGGCTTGAAATTCACAACAAGCGCATGTGTATGCCTTCCTAAAATCCCAAGGGGAGAGTGAAAGAGAAGGGGAATGTGGCCATTCCCCCTGGGGGGTGATTTCTCACTTTCCTTCTCACTGTCTCTCTCTGTCTCTCTGGCAAGTACATGCACCCTGTAGCAAAAAAATCTCTCTGGAAAAAAAGAAGAAAGAAAGAAAGAAGAAAGAAAGAAAGAAA